TGAATGGGTACTGTGGATACTGTATAGATGAATGGGTGTCTGAGAAATAATTTACTGAGTGGAGCTCACTGGCCCTAAAGGGCCTGTACTTGCTCACCTTGGCTCCTGGTAGGTATGATGGTCTTCTCTCTTCTAGACTTGGCAGCCTGGGTCTCATGGACTACTATCTGATGGATGCTGCCTCCTTGTTACCTGTCCTGGCTCTTGGTCTGCAGCATGGAGACATTGTGCTTGACCTGTGTGCTGCTCCTGGGGGAAAAACCCTGGCATTACTTCAGACGGGCTGTTGCCGTAAGTCAGTGGCATGGTATCTTGGGCAGGCAGGGATCTCCACTTCACCTAGGAGGGCACACTAAATGTCATAAGTTTAGTCCCAAGGTCAGGGGATAATAATATTTACTAAGTTTTTTGTCAGTTGGTCAAGAAGAATGACTGATGAAGGCTTTAGGCAGATTAAATCTGAGCTCTGATAAATCCACCACATGATCCTCTCACCCTTTGTATTTGCTGATTTGTCTCTAAGGTAAAGTCTCACTTCTTTGTATTGCCAACCACTCATTTTTAGCTTTATATGCCACGAGTGAGCTTTCGATGCATCCAGCACACCTGCTACCTTTGCTTATGTTACTTTCTCTCTTTAGAACTCCCCATCCCACCCTGGCTGTGATATCTAAATCTTTTTAGCTTTTGAGCCTCAGCTCAAGTGTGCTACCTGCAGGATGTCTTTTCTCGTAGCTGCTACTGCCTTGTTCAGAATGATTCCTTCCACTAACATTATTAGCCTTTCCTCAGAGCTTTAATGGATATGTGTCTTCTCCCTCCTCAAGATTATGAATTGTATGCTGGGTGGTGGTGGCGGAGCATGCTTTTAGTCCCAGCATTTGGGATGCAGAGGCAGGTGGATCTACTTGAGTTTGAGATCAGCCTGGTTTATAGAGTGACAGCCAGGGCTATACAGAGAAACCCTGTCTTGAAAAACAAAAATGAAAATTCCAAGTTCCTTGGCTGAAGCTTCTTCATGTGTTTTTGTATCATAGGTAACCCTGGTATTCATAGGTGTTCACTTTAGCCAGCCTTTGGCCGGCATCCTACATGGTCTCTGCTTCAGTTTCTGCCTTCAGGTTTTTGCCTTAACTTCCTGCTCTGACTTTCCTCTATGAAGAACCTTAAACTGTAAACTGAAACAAATCATTTCCTTTCCAAGTTGCTTTTGGTCATGGTATTTATTACATCAATAGAAACCCAACTAAGGCACAAGTGTTTGAAAGAAATTGGGTACAGGCACAGTGTCACACACATGTAGTCCCAGCTACTCAGGAGGCTGAAACTGAATTGCTTGAGAAGTTCAAGGACAGTCTAGGCACTATAGGTATCAAAAACAAAACAAAGCGGCAATAAATTGGCATTGCTAGTGTATGCCTGAGGCAGGATGATCTCAAGTTCACAGCTAGTCTAGGCTACAGACTAAGACCCTGTCACAGCATTGTAAAACACAACCAACTCCATTTTTGAAGTTCCAGGGGCTAAACTCCAATTCCAGGAGGAAAATCACAAGTCCACTTGAGCAAACATCCTATGGCAACCCCCTCCCTCCTCAGTAACAGTCAGTCAGGCTACCACAGTAGGGTCAAGATGCATATAGATAACCTAAGACATCCTACAGAAAATTGATAACCTAGTCATCCTGTTTGTCAGGTGGTTTTGCCCCCGTGTTTGGTTCCTGCAAATTATGCCAAAAATGCAGTTTTTAAAATATTAACTTGCTGACCTGTATGGAAATTCCCCAAACTTGCAGTAACTACAGTAAATACTCTGTACCTCTAGACTCTATTTACTTTTCCTTTCCATAGATATTTGTCTTTGTGACCTCTGCTCCAGAGTGACTGATTTGATGCCACACATATAGTGTCCCTGCCCCTGGGGTCCTTGTTGACTGGGTATATCTAAGGATTGGCTTCATTTTCCATGAACACCTTTTGTTGGTGTGATAGGATGTTGAGTCGGAGCCTCTGAAGACTCTTTATTTCCACAGGTAATCTAGCTGCCAACGATCTCTCCACTTCCCGAACAGACAGACTGCAGAGGGTCCTTCACAGTTATGTACCTCAAGATATTAGGGAAGGGAACCAAGTTCGAGTTACCTCATGGGATGGCAGGAAGTGGGGAGAACTGGAGGGGGACACCTATGACAGGGTAAGTGACCTCTGACTCTGTGTGTTCTGCTCTCCGATCCCAGGGTAAGATCTAGCCCCTGGGTTTTGAGTGTTTGCAGCTGTTTTTGGACCTAGACAGTTCTCCATGAGTGATTTGGAGAAAGCCATTTGTAGAGTTCTCAGTTCAGCTTAGATGACTTGCTACTGTTTTCATTAGAGATAGTTGGCAGCAAAAAGAATTTAAACCTAACTGAATGTGGAAAAAGTTATTAGGCATATTTTATTTCTGAAGTTTGGTTTCTTGCAATCCCTTGCAATGATGAGTATGAATGAGAACATTTTATTTCTGAATATTAAAGTAGCACATGCAAAATTCAGGAGGTATAAGAGAATACCTGGTGGAAAATAACTTTCTTTTTAGACCTGTACACAGCCATCTTCTTCCCCTTCTTGCAGATAACTATTTTTATTTTTTTTATAATCTTTGTGTAGTTTATATATGAAAATATAGATTTATGAGTTTCTTAATAGAAATGACAGCATGTGGTATTCATTCTGACATCTATTATTTTTTAATTAATTAAAATATCCTCAGGTGTAGACCATAGTTTTATGCATTTGAAGTAAAATTGCTGGTTAATGGTTTCTATCGGTTAAGATTTTGACCAGAAGAGGGCATCAGATTCCATTTCAGATGGCTACCATGTGGTTGCTGGAAACTGAACTCAAAACCTCTGTAGCAGCCAATGCTTTTAGCTGCTGAGACATTTCTCCAGCCTTGTTGGTCAGTTTGATTACTTGCAGTACCTCTCACATTTCCCTGTTGTGTATGTTGTTGAAACTCTTTTTTTGTTTTTTGTTTGTTTGTTTATTTTGTTTTGTTTTTTCAAGACAGGGTTTCTCTCTGTAGCCCTGGCTTTCCTGGAACTCACTCTGTAGACCAGGCTGGCCTCGAACTCAGAAATCCGCCTGCCTCTGCCTCCCAAGTGCTGGGATGAAAGGTGTGCACCACCACCACCTGGCTGAAACTCTTAATATTTTTAAGTTATTTATTTCCTTTTTTAAAAACTTATTTTAGATTTATTTATTTTTATGTGTATGATTGTACGTTAGCCTTCGTGTATGTGTGTACCACATGTATGCCTGGTGCCCTTAGGTCAGAAGAGGGAGTCAGATTCTCTGGAACTGGAATTACAAGCAATTGTAAACCACTATGCGGATGCTAGGAACTGAACCTGGGTTCTCTACAAAAGCAGCAAGTGCTCTTAACCACTAAGCAAGCTCTCCAGCCCCTAGTTGTTTTCTTTTAGTTAGCATACTATAAAATCACTTATTTAAAACATGATTTATGATCACTATATATCGTACATGTGTATAAAATGGACAAAGTATATAGCCAGCACTTGAGAGACAGAGGGAGGCAGATCTCTGAGTTTGAGGTCAGTCTGGTGTACAGAGTAAATTCCAAGACAGCCACAAAGAAATCTTATTTTGGAAAACCAAAATTTAAAAATGGGCTACACAGAGAAACCCTGTCCCGGAAAAACAAAAAAAAATAAAAATAAAAATAAATAAATAAAAATAAATGTGTAGACTGCACGGCATGTGGGTGAGGGCTAGTACTTTAGGTCCAGGCTCCTTGGACTGGAGGCCTGGCTCCATGACTTGTCAGCTGGGAGATTTTTGTAAGTTACTTAAACTTGGAATTGTGTTTAGCTTCTTCAGTGTGGTACATTGTAGTAGTGCCCGTCCCATAGGTGGTTAACTAAGAATGCCTTTGCACAGCTTCAGACCACAGCACGTATCCAACACTGCTGCTGTTGTCAGGTTCCTCATCATTTTCTGTTCACTTATTTTAGCTATGCCTTGTGGAGCAATAGAGAATGAATTCCCTCCCAGTTTACTTGACAGTGCTTGAGGCATTTGAAATAGCTTTGGTCCTTGAAGATATCTTCATTAATTTATTTGTTGAAGAAATAAAATCAAATAGCCAAGGGCAGAGCCTTGAAGTACTAAGATTTTTTTCCCTAGGTTGATATCAGTTATGCAATTACAATTATTTATATGCAGCTTTTGTTTTGAAACAGGGTCTTATGAAACCTAGGCCTCAGATGAACTCTATAAACTGAGACTGGCTATGATTCCTGATTCTCCTGCCTCTACCCTCTCAAGTACTGGAATGCTAAGTGTGTACTAGCATGCATATATTTTAATTTAATTTAATTTAATTTAATTTAATTTAATTTAATTTTACTTTTTGAGTCAGGGTCTTACTCTGTGCCCATGGCTGGCCTGGAAAACCAGAGATGAGGTTACCTTCAAATGTGTAGCAGTGCTCTTGGCCCTACCTCTGCTTTTTGATCAACCATGGATATTTCTAAATATACTATTTCAATCACTCACTATTTCACAGGTTAAAATGAGAATCCTTGTCAGGTACTCCTCAATGGAGGGATGGGTAGGAGGAGCATCTCCAGTGAACTTTGTCATCTGGGAGCCTAAACTGCTCTGACCTAAGTCAGAAGAACCTAGAAGGAGCTTTAATGCTTTACCCTTTAACATTCTGGGCAGGTGTTAGTAGATGTGCCATGTACCACCGACCGCCATTCCCTTCATGAGGAAGACAACAACATCTTTCAGCGGTCAAGGAAGAAGGAGCGACAGATGTTGCCTATGCTGCAGGTGCAGCTTCTTGCGTGAGTGACATAGTTACAGAATCTCAGACATTAGGGTCTAGTCACCTGAGATCTCTACTGGGGGACTGGAAGCCAAGACCATCACATATAAGAATCTTGGCTGGAGATTTGCCTGAAGGCAGTAGGCTTCATGAGTTGGTTCTTTCTAGAATAATAACTACTGTATTTCATCATTTTACCCCCAGTGCCAGTGACTTGCATTTTTTTTTTTGTTTTTGTTTTTTTGTTTTTTGAGACAGGGTTTCTCTGTATAGCCCTGGCTGTCCTGGAACTCACTCTGTAGACCAGGCTGGCCTCGAACTCAGAAATCCACCTGCCTCTGCCTCCCAAGTGCTGGGATTAAAGGCATGCCCAGCACTTGCATATTTTTTAAAAGCAGATTCTGCCAGCTATCATTAGATAGTTGAGAAGCCGAGGCAGGAGAATAGCTTGAGCCTAGGAGTCTGGGTTATCCTAGGTGCTAACCTGGCCAACATAGTGAAGCTCTATCTTAGAGAAAAAAGGAGACTACAGAGATGGCTCAGCAGTTAAGAGCAGTATTTGCTCTTGCAGAGGACTAGGTCTGGTTCCCAGCGCCCACATGGCTTCTCATAACCATCTGTAACTCCACTACCAGGGGATCTGATGCCTCTTCTGACCTCCATGGGCTCCTGCACACATATGGTACATATCCATACATTCAGGCACACACATACACATAAAATAAAATAAGTAATAAGCATTTTCTTAAATAAAAAAACCTACTACATTTATTTATTTATTTTAAAAAGAAGCCAGGCATGGTGCATGCTTTTGATCTTAGGCAGATGCAGGAGGATCTCTGATTTTGAGGGCAGCTTGGACTACCTTGTGGTTTCAGGTCAGCCAGGGATATATATAGTGAGGCCTTGGGGGTGGGTTGGGGGGGAGGAATGAATAGAAAAAGAGGAAGGAGAAAGAGAAAAGGAGGAAAGAAAGAGGAGAGAAAAGGGAGGGGGGTTAGGGGTCTGTACAATTGGAGAGAGAATTCAATTGAGAGCCATCATTAGGATTTAGTTCATAACTAGAATCAGGGTTCAAAGGGTCATTCTTTCTTTTTATTAGCTATACATGTGTGTCTTCATGTTGGTATGTGCACACTTGTGGAGGTCAAAGATTTTGGAGCCCCCTGGACTTGGAGTTAGGAAATTTTGACATGGGTGGTGGGTACTGAACTTGGGTCCCCAACAGGAGCAGTATGCAATCTTAACTGCTGAGCCATCTCTCCAGCTCCATCAAAGGATTCTTTGAAGGAGGGTTTGTAGAGGTAGGTGTGGTGGTATGTGCTTATAATCCCAGCACTTGGAAGGCTAAAGCAGTAGGATGGCAACTTGGAGGCTACTCTGTACCATATAACAGGGTCGTACCTCACAAAGTAAAGACAAAAGCAAGAACTAAGCAAACATACAAGGCTCCCCGAGGAAGGCCTTTTGCTACTCCACTGGGTAGTAGACCACCCTATCTGTGTCCCTAGCCTGTACTGCTCTTAACTTCTGAGAAGTATACTAGTTATTGCTTTTTTTCCTTGGTTTCAGGGCTGGACTCCTTGCCACCAAACCAGGAGGTCACGTTGTCTATTCCACTTGCTCTCTGTCACACTTACAGAATGAGTATGTGGTGCAAGGTGCCATTGAACTTCTGGCCAATCAATACAACATCAAGGTTCAAGTGGAAGACCTGTCCCACTTCCGAAAGCTTTTCATGGACACATTCTGTTTCTTCCCATCCTGCCAGGTTGGGGAGCTGGTAATACCAAACCTCATGGCCAATTTTGGACCTATGTACTTCTGCAAATTGCATAGGCTGCCATAGTGTCACCCTGTCCCTGAAGTAGGAAGGTGATGACTCTGTTGGAAGCATTGAAACTGAGGCTAGTGGCAGATGTATCCCAAGGCTGGTCTCCATCCATCACATTTAAAGATAGTTGTAAACAGCAGGAAGTAGGGACTGCTGCCTAGCTATGGATTATCAGCAGGTTTCTAACTCATACTGTCACTTCTATCTCTCAGCCTCTAAGGCTCCTGCTCCATTAGGGATTAAGACAGAATCTGTGAATAAGCCCATAGTTTAAGCTGGAAACTTAGGAAGAAACATTTAGCCAATAAAGTTGCTGAAGTGCTCTAAGGGTGAGCCTGCAGTTGGGGCCATCACATCAGTCTAAGTTCTATTTTGTTTATGTGTCAGCTGAAGCTGCCAAGCACTCTCTCCAAAGTGCCCAACCCAGGCCTCCAGTCCTCCCACACTAGTGAGGTCCATTTAATCAGCCAACAGGCCCACCAGCCTCCCCAAGTGTCTCCATATGGCACATGGTCTAATTTAAGGAATAAGTAACTGAAACGGTTGAGCCTGTGGCTGATGATCCTCTTACAGTGAAGAAGCTTTCCTAAGCTGTGTGCTTCTGGCTCTCCTTCAGATGCAGCTGCAAAAGCTGCTCCTGGTACAGATTGGTTTTGTATGTTTCTTTATTTCTTCCTATAACAGCAAGTGTTCTGTGATCAGCTATGTTATATGTCATAAGTGTCCTGTATGACAGCTATGGAGCTGTTAGAGAGATGGTTGGGGCTATGGGAAACAGTTGGGCTTCCTCATTTCAGAATGGCAACCTATATCTTTTCACTCTCCAAGTACCTAGGAATTTCCTGACATTTTTTTTTCAAATGTCTTTTTATTTCTAGTCTGTGCCCCATTTCTGGTGCCTGCTTTGGCCCATCTCCAAATCCTTCAGAGTTCTTCCACATTGCAGGGCTTTACCTCACACCCAGTGTTTTGGGGTGACATTACATAAGGTGTTGGTTGCATGCTGATTGTTTTGTAAGACTTGTCAAAACAAAGCAACTTTTAGTGCCAGGAAATAGTAAACATTGCCTATGGTCAACTGTGTGTGTGTACCTTGTGAATAACTTGAATATTTCTTGGCTTTTCCTACCTTCTTTATTCTTCCTTTATTACTATTCTTTTTGTCTTTCATGCCTTCCCTGTTAAGCTTTATTTGAGTATTAGAAGTATCCATTGAGAAGGATGTTAGCAAAGATTAAGACATCTCCTTTCTTGAGATTTGTATTATAACTGAGGACCCTGGAAGGGCTTCCAGACTTTAAGTCAAGTGAAGCTAGTAAAATAGAAGTGCGGGGAACTTGGCTAACATCTGAGTAGGACCCTCACCAGCCTCTGTTCATGGCATATAATCCCTGCCTGCTGTTTACTCTGTACTTGTATTTCTGAAGCTGAGAGACCTTTGGTGCCTGGGTTTCTGCCTCTTGGATATCCACCTGGTGCTACGTGGTAATCATTGAGGAGAGGGTCTGCTGGCCCTTGGATCATGGTCTAATTGACTGACAGATTGGGTAAGAGAAATAAAACTACTGTATTAAGCAGGGTTTTCTAGATGAATAGAACCAATAGCATGTGTATGTATGCGCGAGCACACACACACACACAAGTATACATACATATATGTGTATGGGTTATAAGGGGGGTTTATTGGATTGGAAAGAGCCTGAGTAGCCCACCAACAGCCATTTGCATACTGAAGAGGCAGAAAACTAGGTTCCCAAGAATGCCTGAGAAGTTTCAGTCCAACACTGAAGTTTGGAAGCTTCTTAGAAAGTTGCAGCTATTGAATCAGTGTTAAGAACTGAAGAATTGGTCTGATGCTTGGTGGGCAGCAATGGCAGTAGGTGGTATTACTTGGAGCAGAAAGAGACTTGCTGATTGGAGAGTTGCCTTCCCCTACTTACCTTCATCATCTAGGCAGTTTGCTTTTTTGAGGGTCCCACTCATGTTCAGGATGGATCTTTTCCTCACTAGTCACTGTCCCATGTGCCAGTCCTCTTGAAAAATCCCTAGAGGCATACAGATGTGTTTGACTAGTCTGAGGCATCTCCTAATCCAGTCATATTGACAACTCAGACCAACTATTACAATGACTTCAGAAAATGGTTTGTCTTCTGTAATTGAACATACCCTGCCCTCTAACTCAGTTACTACAGTGCTAAGGGTAAATTCAAGAGAAACTCATACATGCATGCCAGTGTACCTCTGAAGGATGTTCATAGCAGTCTTGCTCACAAGCAAAGCCCACACACAGTCCACAGGTCACTGTGCAAGAAATTGGATGAATAAACTAGATATTCACACAATGGAATGTGTGATGTATGATCTTATTTTACCTTGCAATCCATCAATGTGCTGTGTAATGAGTTTTGTATTTAATAATACAGCCATAATCATCAAGAGACATTGAAAATAATTCTATCCTTAAATGTTACCTTCTGGTCTTTGTTCTCAATCACTACTTTTATTTCTAGTCTCAGATAGTAGCTGATCTGCTTTCTATCACTGTGGTTGGAAGATGGAGTTGATTTATAGCTATATGAGAGGAGTATCACCTTTATCTGGACCGCTGGACTTCTGCTATGTCACTTTGAATAAGATAAGAGGATTAGGGTTATTTAAAGTCTAAAGATCCTGTGGTGACCCCAAGATGTTACTGTGGGTTTGCAACTGGTCTAACTGGTTAGGTGCTTTCAGCTTAATTACTTCCGTCAGGGTATCATAAAACCTTCCTGGGAACTTCTGATCTGAACTTTCCCAAAGCTGGGATTCAACCATAGCAAAAATCCTTGATGATGTATAGTACATGCCTGTAAGTGTAGCACTTGGTAGGTAGAGGCAGGAATATCAGGAGTTCAAGGTCATCCTTAGCAACTCAGTAAATTCCAGTCCTGCCTGGGCTGCATGAGCCCTGTCTCAAAGAACCAAAACCCAAACCAAACCAAAATAGCAGGGCTAGACCCAGGTGATGGGGGCACACGCCTTCAATCTCAGCACTCTTTCAATACCAGGTAGAGGCAGGTGAATCTCTTGAGTTCTAGGTCAGCCTGGTCTGCAGAGTTGAGTTCCAGGACAGCCAGGGCTACACAGAGAAACCCTGTCTTGAAAAACAAGGGAATAAACAGATACAGGGCTAGAGCACTTACCAGGGCTACACAGAGAAACCGTGTCTTGAAAGACCAATAAATATGCTAATAACAGTTACGTGATGTGAGTGGAATTATTAACATGCTTGTTTAATGTTTTGTTCAAAGAAATTACAAGAATTAATTATATCAGTGATTATATTTGTTAAACATAAAACTAAGTTTTTAAAAAAAGAAAAAACAATAAATAATGAATACAGGGTAAGGGATGTGGCTCTGTGGTAAAGCACTTATCTGGGTTGTATATGGTCCTGAATTTAGTCTCCAGTGTGCAAAAACAAGTAGCCAGGAGGTGGTGTAGGCAGTCTACAGTTTTCCGAGGCAGAGTGATCACAGATAATTCAAGGCCAGCATGGTCTATACAATGAGCTTATAAAGTGAGACTTTCTCAAAACAAAAACTTCAAAACAACAGACAACAGCAAAACCCTTGGAGTGTGGTCTATGTAGGGAACTTGCATATAGGTCATCTCTCAAGTAGCGGGTGCTTGCTTATGCCTTTTTCTGTCTGTCCTTTCTTATTAAAAACTTTTTTTTTTTTTGTTTTTCGAGACAGAGTTTCCCTTTATAGCCTGGGCTGTCCTGGAACTCACTCTGTAGACCAGGCTGGCCTCGAACTCAGAAATCCACCTGCCTCTGCCTCCCAAGTGCTGGGATTAGAGACATGCGCCACCACTGCCTAGCTTCTTATTAAAATCTTAGGTGATCTGTGAAGTCTGTTAAGTCATGCAACCTGACTTTGGGAAATGTCTGAATACATAAATGGAATCACATAGCACATGACGTTTGTGTTTGTCGTCTGTGTAGTCTAGGGTCTGAGATTCATCATGCTTTCTTCCCTTTAGATCCTGACCACAGGCGCACCACACTCCCTTTGCTCATCGATTGATTGATGGGTTCTCATTGCTTTCCCTTTTGCCTGTCATCAGACTGCTGAGAACATTTATACACATGACTAAATGTTCACGTTTTTCCTGAGTAAATATTTAGGGTTAGAGTTAGTGAGTCATGTGGCTAATATATTTTATTTAAAATTTATTTTAAGCCTAGCGGTGGTGGCTCACGCCTTTAATCCCAGCACTTGGGAGGCAGAGGCAGGCGGATTTCTGAGGAGAGTTCGAGGCTAGCCTGGTCTACAGAGTGAGTTCCAGGATAGCCAGGGCTACACAGAGAAACCCTGTCTCGAAAAATCAAACCAAAAAAAAAAATTTATTTTAAAAGTGTTAGTGTACACCTTTAATCCCAGCACATGGGAGGCAGAGGTAGGTAGATCTCTTGAGTTCTGAGACCAGCCTGGTCTACAGAGTGAATTCCAGGACAGCCAGGGCTACACAGAGAAACTCTGTCTCAAAAAACAAACAAACAAAAACAAAAAATCAAGATTAATTTTTAATAATGTGTCTGTGTGGGTATGTGCACATGAGTGCAGGTAGCCTCTCAGAGATCAGTAGATGGCTATCAGGTCCTGGGGCTGGAGTTAACAGATGATTGCCCATAGACATGCACACAGGCAGAAACACCTGTACACATAAAGTAAAAAATCTTCCAATCAGTTATCAAATGAGTTGACTAGTTTCCAAAATAAGCAATATAAATGATTAGTATGTTTTTTTTAAGTATTCAACATCCTTAGCTATCAGGGAAATGCAAATTGAAAGCATATTAAGCAATATATATAATTTTAAAAGTAAAGGAAAAACAAACTACATCAAGCAGTTCATGATGGCACTTTATTTATTTATTTATTTATTTATTTATTTATTTATTTATGTTTTTCGAGACAGGGTTTCTCTGTGTAGTCCTGGCTGTCCTGGAACTCACTCTGTAGACCAGGCTGGCCTTGAACTCAGAAATCTGCCTGCCTCTGCCTCCCAAGAGCTGGGATTAAAGCCGTGCACCACCACTGCCTGGCTATGGCACTTTATTTTAATGCCATCACTCAGGTGGTAGAGGCAGGCAGATGTTCAAGGCCAGCCTAGTCTAAATAGTGAGATCCTGCCAAAATAAAAAGAGGTCATCATATCCCCTAGAACCAAAGATAAAGACAGTTGTGAGCAGCCATGTAAGTTCTGAGAATAGTACCTGATTCTTCTGGAAAAGCAGTCAATATTATTAGCCAGTAAACCATTGTTCCAGCCCAGGCTGCCTTTTAACTTGCAATGTACCTGAGGATGTCCTAGAGCCTTTGCCTTTGCCTCCCTGGTACTGAGGTTACAGATGTGCTTGCCGTGCTTGCCTTTCCTAGTCTAGCTCTTCATTTTTCCCCCTCACACTTTCAGTTCCTATTTCACAGTCTTCAATCCATTCTGAATTGACTTGTGTTCAGAGTGAGCCAGAGATCTAGTTTCATTCTCCTGTATATGGATATTCATTTTTCTCAGCACCATTTCTTGAAGATGCTGTTTTTGATACAATGTGTACTTTTGACAGTCTATCAAAAATTAAGTAGCTGTCAGGGATGGTGGCTCATGCCTTTAATCCCAGCCATTGGGCATAGACAAGTGGATCTCTGTGAGTTTGAGTACAACCTGGTCTACATATCAAGTTTCAGGACAGCCAGGACTACACGGTGAGACCCTATCTCAAAATAAGTTATCAGTGGCCTTAGCTGCCTGGGTTTCTTTCTAGATTTTCTTTTTTCATCTGCTTCCCTTTTCCCTCTTGCCCCTGCTCAGTCTGGCCCAAAGGTTTATTTTTATTTATTATATATAAGGACACTGTAGCTGTCTTCAGACACCCCATAAGAGGGCATCAGTTCTCATTACAGATGGTTTTGAGCCACCATGTGGTTGCTGGGAATTGAACTCAGGACCTCTGGAAGAGCAGTCAGTGCTCTTAACCACTGAGCCATCTCTCCAGCCCCATTTTCTAGGTCTTCAATTCTGTGGAAGCAGTGTTTCTATCTGCCTTAGATGAGAAGTCAGTAAGTACTGCTGCCTGGCAGGTGTCTTGAGACGGCTGAAGGTGAAGCTGAGCCAAATGGAGAAAGGCAGAACTGAGCAGATAGCTGAGGATCTGATGAGGTCACCCAGGCAGAACTGAGCAGATAGCTGAAGATCTGATCAGGTCACCCAGGCAGAATTGAGCAGATAGCTGAGGATCTGATGAGGTGTCACTCTCAGGCTGGTCTTTTCCACTTCAGCTAATTTAAGCCAACTGACTGACAGGAAATATTGGTAAAATACAAAGACCCTAGTGTTCTTCAAAGTGCTGAGAATAGAATCATACTCAGGTGATAGTTAAAGATATTGCTACTGTGGTTGAGATGGCTCAGTGGTTAAGAACACTGGCTGTTTTTCTAGAGGACCAAGATTCCATTCCCAGCACCCAGATGATGGTTCCTAACTGAGTAATTCCAGTTCCAGGGGATCTCCTGAGGCACCAGGCACACATGTACACAGGCAGGACACCCATACACATCATTTTAAAAACTTACTACATTGACCCAACATTAATTGATGCAGGATTTTTTTTTTCTTTCTTCCCCCTGTTTCATCCCTGCCCCCAGCTTAGAGACAGGGTTTCTCTGTGTAGCCCTGGCTGTCCTGGAACTCACTCTGTAGACCAGGCTGGCCTTGAACTAAGAAATCCACCTGCCTCTGCCTCCCAAATGCTGGGATTAAAGACATGTGCCACCACTGCCTGGCCTGTTTGTCTTTTCTTTCTGTTGGATATTACCTTCTATATGTTCATAGCTAAATATTTCTATTTTACCAACAACTCTGCCTTAAGAATTATTTTTGCTTTTTTAATGGAGACAGTAAGTGTGCATGTTGCCATCTGGATCCAGGGACCTTTAATCTGGACATTTGTGTCCTTTACTGATTATATTTGCTTTTCAGAAAAGGCTTCCCCAGTGGTTGCCCTCACAGATTGCAGGTAGGGGCTGCCACACCTGGATGAACTGGGTCTTGGAGAAGGGTGAGTTTGCTTTTTTTTTTTTTTTCGAGACAGGGTTTCTCTGTGTAGCCCTGGCTGTCCTGGAACTCACTCTGTAGACCAGGCTAGCCTCAAACTCAGAAATCCGCCTGTCTCTGCCTCCCAAGTGCTGGAATTAAAGGCATGTGCCACCACTGCCCGGCTAAGAGTGAGTTTGCTAGGCAGTATGTATTGTAGAGTGGGGTTTAGGTTAGAGGGAAAAACAAACAAACAAACAAACAAGTGTTGGGGAAATAGACCAACGGAAGAGTCTGCACAACATAACAGTGGGACCTCAAATACTGAGGGAGTCAGGCTGAGGATTTTCAGGCTCTACCCTCATGTTGGTGCTCACTGGTCTGTCAGAACCATCACATACAGAGTCATATGCTGCTTCAAGTTAGAACCAGATATGAGAGCGTCTTCTGGAGCGAGTGACTTGTCTCCCTTAGATGTTTTTGTTGGGACAGGTGTTCCAAGTATTTATTGCAGCTATGACAAGATCCAGACAAGTCAAAGGTATGGCCACAGAGAATCCAGAACAGTTCAGTCACTGGGCGCTACCAAACTGGAAAGGAGAGGGCAGGTCCCAGGGCTAGAGGTCAAGAGTTTCTTGGAACACTGAGTCACACTGAGGTGACTGGAACCTGTGGGAGAGCAGAGCCTAAGTTCTCTGAGAGAATCTTGGTAATTGAAGAAACTCTAGTCAGCATTTTAAGTGTCTTGTAAGGATCACTAACCCCTTCCTTCCTTCACCCTGTCTCTCCTTTTATCACCTCCTTTCTTCCCTCCTTCCCTTTTTCCTCCTTCCCTTCTCCATTTCTTTTTTAAAAATTTACCTTAAAAGTAAAATGAGCTGGGTGGTGGTGGCGCACGCCTTTAATCCCAGCACTTGGGAGGCAGAGGCAGGTGGATTTCTGAGTTTGAGGCCAGCCTGGTCTACAGAGTGAGTTCCAGGACAGCCAGGGCTACACAGAGAAACCCTGTCTCGAAAAACCAAACCAAACCAAACCAAAACAAAAAAAAAAAAAAAAAAACCCAACAACTGAAAGTGGGCTGGTGAGATGGCTTATTAGGTCATGGTGTTCACTGCTAAGCCTGATGATTTATTTGATCCCTGGCCCTGGAAGGAGAGAA